TGTGTGTGTGTGTGTGTGTGTGTGTGTGTGTGTGTGTGTGTGTGTATGTATGTATGTATGTGTGAGTGTGTAGCTCCGCCCCGATGACATCACCACTGTAAAGTCAGCTGTATTTAACTGAGCAGAGAGCAGTGATTATGGTCTGTTAGTGACGCCTCTGACATCAGCCACAGTTGTTTAAGCTGGAAGTTCAATGAAAATGTCTTACATGTTTAACATGGTTACTCACAGCAGCGTGAATGGATCACTAGTGCAGGTGAGTGTGTGCGTCACCATGGTAACGAGTGCTTTGTGTATGTGTGTGTAATCTGCTCACACTCGTTGTGCTGCCTCTGGGTCAGGTTTCTCTCTGACAGATGGTTCAGGGGTTCAGTGACCCGTGTGCTGATCATCACATCTGACACTGACGGCAGCTAGTGATGGTTTACTTTACTAGGTTTAGTTCTACTGGAAGTGTAGAGGCTCCGCCCACATCCCAGAGCGGGTTATGATTGACAGATGAGCAGCGAATGAGCTTCCGCTGAGTCAGAGCACCGATCGTGGAAGAGAAAACACAGGCAGACAGCGCTGGAAGCAGCTAATGCTCATCGCATAAATCAGTGGAAAGTGAATAGAACTGATTCCGTCTGAGCTATGCGTTTTAAAACAAATACGCACTAGTGTAAGCGTAGCCTAGGGACATTAGTCCTGAGGACATCATCAGTGAAGAGAGGGCTCGTCTGTCTCCTGAACAAGCAGACATGCTCATTTTTTTGAAGAACTGCTGAGTGATTTTAAGATCTTAAGCATGCAGCAGTGATTCTCACATACTGACTTAAAACTGTTCATTTTGCACTGAAAACGATTTGAGCTTTATTAAAACTATTAGCACTGATTTATTGTGTTGGTTACATTTTGTTCCTTTGTGCAGTGGCTCAGGAGTCTTTGAGTTTGTATAAACATCAACAAGCTTAGGTTAGGGTTAGGTTTTTTTCAGATAATGTAATCTTGTTAAAATGGATTTCATAAAACTGGTATCAAAAAAAGTATCGTTCAGGAACCGGAATCAAAGTCAAGGTATCGGTATCAACATTTTTTGAACGATATTCAGCCCTAACTGTTAAAAGTATTCAAAAGTAAATACCAAATGTTTTTTAGTGTAAATATGGATTTGAAAAGTTTCTATTTCACAAAGAGCCACTTCCACCTGATGAAAAATATTAGAGATGAACATAAAAGAAAACGCATATAAAAGTCTCCATAACAGGCTGTGACTGGCGTATAGTGTGTCATGTATGATCTTCAGTTACGACACGTGTGTGTATGACGTGTCAGAGTGATCTGAACTGATAATTGTGTGTGTGAGTGTGTGTGTGTGTGTGTGTGTGAGTGTGTATGTATGTGTGTGTGTGTGTGTGTGTGTGTGCGAGTGTGTA